TCATTTAAAAGGAAGAATGAGTCAGTGATTTCATCCATATTGTAGAAAAATCAACTGATTTCAAATGAGCATTCAACATGCCCCTTGAAGTTCATGAGAGGTCTATTTTTCTATTTTTTAGATTTTATGGGGATCCATTAATTACCTTAATGAATTATTTTTGAGCATATAAAATAACTATTATCTCTAAAATAAGAAAAATAGACCAATAATTTGTCACATTAATTCAATGCTCAAAATTTGGCATTGATGAGAAAAATTGACAACTATCTTATTCAATGAATTATACAGGTTCATGCACCATTTCTATGGTGATAAAAGCCTAAAAAAGGGGCCCTTTTGTTTTTTTAAAATGATTTATATTTTTATTTCAATTTTCTTTTTCAGCCTTTTAATATAAAGATGAACCATTATTGTCAGGGAAAACAATAATATATATATATATATATATATATATATATATATATATATATATAAAGAATTAATGATGAACCAAAGATACGTTTGATACTTTTATGACCACATGTTGGCATGGATTTGGACATAATATTGTAATTTGTGGGGGTCATTGTCTCAGAAGTGGCCAGGTCAAGGATCCTTTACGATGGCAAGAAAACTTGAATATTCCAATTGTTTCTAGCTAACTTATATATCTCTCTCTTTAAAAATTTATAATAAACATATAGATTTATGGTTTCTCATTTTTTTAGAAATAAAATTATAGTAGAATATTTGTATTTTAAGTGTCACTAACTTTATGAATATGACTAAAATAATTCAAACACATTTTCTTGTGTTAATAAAATTACATTTTTATTACTCCACAAAATATATAATGATCATTAGTCTATGTACAAATATTGATAATGCATGCATACACAAATATATTTAATAGTACACGTGTATAAACACTCTGATGGCGCTTTTCTGGTCAAATCAAATTTTAAATTGTCATTTTCGTATTTTCACTCTCACAATCGTATTCACTACCCTCACTTTCGCTCCCTTATGTGACCTAAGATGTATCTCTTTTTCTTTTCAAATATAAAACCATAAACATTGTTCAATGGAATGAGTGGTCAATTTAAATGTGGCAAAATAATGAGGAACCATATATATATTTTCTTTTAATGGTTACCACAAATAGTGCAGCAAGTTTCCATGTACACGGAAATGCAGTCCTTAATATTACCAGTGTGCCATGTCTGAAAATATAGATAATTAGATACATATATAAAAACATAAGAGACACACATGAGCTGCAGTGCACAGCAGTGTGACTCTGACCCGCCAATTATTGGCTTCCTACTCAACCAACCATAATTCAAATGGGATGATCAGCCATTAATTTAAAAGTATGGGCCATACTTTTAAAATAATAATAATATATAAATAAATAAAAATAAAAAGCATGGGCCTTATTGTTTGAAAGAAAAAAAAAAAAAAAACACTAGACTAGAAACATTCTAGAAGTTGAGTGAATGCATGTGTTTGAGGCTTAATTTCTTATTTAAATAGATTCAAAAGAAAAAGAAATTTATGAGTCTAAATTATAGAATTCTTATAAAATACTTCAAGATTTCAAGCCCTCAGAGTTGACTGTAATTTCAAGCATCGAGCCTGAAGGTTACCCATAAAACACATGTACGAAGTTAACTACATTGAATCTACACTAGCTTCTTGAATTTTAAATAGGTCAAGCTTAATGGTAGTTTGATAAACAATGGTATTAATACAAACTTAACAGAAAGAGGAAAAAAGAAAAAAAAATCAAATATGACAATGGACTTGGCCACAAGATGGAAAATGATTTGAATATATATGGACGACTATTTAGTATTACCTAATAACTTAAATTATTGGATTATAGCGTAAGAGTCTAGCCAGTGGTGCTAAAGTCAGCTTCGTCGTTGATCTAGTATCATGCCAAACGCCGAGTAGAGTTTAGGTTTGGCTTGTTACTGGTTCTCCATATTATAATCAACTTACCTCGAAAAATGTGTACCGTTTAACCCTCCGACGGTCTAAATAGTCTCCGTAATCTGCAGCAACCCATTCCACATAAATTTCCTCCACTTTAGAAGAACTCATCCTTGAGTTTAACTGTGGGTAAAGTAACGGTCTTCGTAATCCGCAACAATCCATTCTACATAAATTTTCTTCACTTCAGAAGAACTCGTCCTTGAGTTTAATTATCGAAAAAGTCAGACACATTAAAAGTATTAGAAATTAACATATCATTAAGAAGCTTCACCACATAAGCAATGTTATCATTAATCTTTCTTGTGATACAAAACGACCCATATTTTTTGCCTTTTAACTTGCCATAAGTCCAAATTGAAAATCTGGTCTTGCGCAAGTACACCACCCCTTTATCACCTTCTTTGAAAATTTTAGCTCTCTATGCTTGTTGTATGTACCTGTTTTTCGAGTCAAGCTAAAGATGACTATATCTAGGAAATACCACTAAAACAATATGAGGAGTACAGAAGAGGGGATTGAGGGAGAGAAAACCAGTCCAATCTGAGGACTGAAAAGATAGTAGAGAAGACGAAGTTTGGAGTGTTGACAGAGCCCAAATTCTTTGTGTCCTTATCCCTTTTGCCTTAGCCACCTCTTTATAGCCCTAGGTCATTCAGGTTGTATATGTTGGACCTCTGGATAAGATGAGTCAGGGCCCATGCTCTTTTATGGATCATGATGCCCTAATCCCTACTTTTTCTGCTCTGCTGCCAGGTGTATATATCTCCTTGAATGACCTAAATAGAAGGTAGTTGTAAAGGTCTTTATACTTACTGCAACATGTCTTTCGCTTTTTCTCTTCGAATTGGGTCCTTTCTTAGCAAGACATAGCTAGTTTTCCATCCTCCATTCCAAAGTCCCTTTTTGTATTCCCACTGGCCTCAAAGAGTCTTACCATTACTCATCACTGTTTGTTTTCTTTGACAGGATGTGACTTAGTTAGATTGAGGTTTAAGGCCCATCGATCGACAATTTGTGGCTTGGTCGGATCGAGGTTCAAGGCCCATCGATCAATAGTTTGTGGCTTGGTTGGATCGTGGTTTAAGACCAATCGATCGACATTTATGGCTTTAGTCAGATCGAGGTTCAAGGCCCATGGATCGACATTTGTGGCTTGGTCAGATCGAAGTTCAAGGCATATCGATCGACAGTTTATGGCTTGGTCTGATCGAGGTTCAAGGCACATCGATTAACAGTTGTGATTTTGGTTGAATTGACGTTCAAGGCCCATCGATCGACAATTTATGGCTTGGTCGGATCGAGGTTCAAGGCCCATCGATCGATAGTTATGGCTTTGGCCGGATCGAGGTTCAAGGCCCATCGATCGACAGTTGTGGCTTTGGTCAGATTAAGGTTCAGGGCCTATCGATCGACTGTAGGTCCCATGCTTTATGGGTTCATCGACTGGCTGTTACTTTTGTCGGAGCTCTTATATCGACCAAGTGTTGTCCATTTTTGTCTTCTTGTTTATTCTTTTGAAGCTAACACTAAGGTGACGTCAGATTAATTTGAATTTTGGTGATGTGGCCTATTTCATGTCTATACTTGTCAGTTGCAACTTTATACTTAATTGGAATTGGACTGCTCTACATTCTACTCGACCTCAGCTTGAATTTTCTGGACATGTTGAAAGCAAACTCAATTTGAGGAATAGGCAAATCCCAATGTTTCAATTTATCACCAGAAATACATGGACCAAACCATATTTCCGAAGGTTCTATTCACCATCTCCATCTACCCATCTGTCTGCGGATGACTAGTATTGTTATACTTCATAGAAGTATCAAATTTTTTCCACAAAATACGGTCCTCCAAGAGTGACTAAGGAATTTGACATCACAATCTGAAGTAATTGATTTTGGTATCTCATGTAACTGCACAATTTCTCGAAAAAATAGATTAGCAACATGGGCTGCATCTGAAGTTTTTCAACATGGAATAAAGTGTGCCATTTTCGAAAATCTATCAACAACCTCAAAAACATAATTCATAACTCTTTAAATCCGTGGAAGTCCAAACACGAAATATGTGGTCAAATCCTCCAAATGTTTTCTGGTACGGGCAAAGAAGTGTATATAAATTTATGTTTTGTGCCTGACCCTTGGCTGTGTTTGGCACCCTCGACACTTCTGCACATATCTACCAACATCATGTTTCAACTATGGCTACTAGTAACACTCTTCTGCTAGCCCGAGTGTCTTATCACGGTCTAATGAGTCCAGCGACGATCTTGGAATACAAAGTTATTGATTGTTGCGAAACAAATAATCGCACTGAATGTAAAAATCTACAACAGGCTATCGTGAATTGATCTTGGCCCAAACTTTCTGGTCCTCATCCATCTTATACAAGGGCATGTATGCAATAATATCTAATAGTTTAAACTTTTGGGTTTGAATGAAATTACTAACCCAAAAGAGAGGAATGGCCAAGTTCAATTTACAAATTAATAATTTTTCTATCTATAATTAACCCAAAATTTTAAACTAGTAGAAAATATGAAACTTTATTATTTACATTCCTAATTCTAAAAGCATTGCACTGTTTTTTGTTGGTCTCACTCGAACGTCTAGCTTGAAATAACTTATCCTTAACTATACGTAGTACTACTTCTCAGTCAACCATACTTCTTAGTCAACAGTAGATGAGAGCAACCAAGACTTTGTCAAGGTAAAGGACTCCTCCACTCTTGCCAAGTTGGAGTACATGGGTCCGTGCCACGTGGACCTTGATTGTGCCCCAACAAAAATACAAAAACAAAAATTAGATCTTTGATGCTGACGTCACAGTGATTTTTCATCTGACCTGGCCGCCTTGCCCACAAATGGTTTGACTCACGTGCGCTAATGCACTAAAACTCCTCTGGTGGGTCCCACTAGTGAAGCACAATTTTAATTGGTAGTAGTGCCTCCAAAGTCCAAAATGCTCATGTTCATGTATCATCATCATATCACATTTTTTAAAAAAACCTTCATGATTTAACCCCCTCGTGTGTCGCACACTATATAAACCCCTTCTAGTTTATGATATTTCTTCATATGAAACCCCCTCGTGTGTCACACACTATATAAACCCCTTCTAGTTTATGATATTTCTTCATATGACCAAAGATCACAAAACAAACTCAAGACTAAACAAACCAAAAGAAGAATTCACAGCCAAAATCATGGATTCTTCATATTCTCAGCATCCGTTTCTCGAATTTTCCCGCCAATCTTCATTCAGTTCGTCTTCTTCCGACTCTCTCAATTGTAACAACGTGCTCAATTTCGAAAACCAACCGCTTCCATTCAACGAAAATGACTCCGAAGAGATGCTTCTCTTCGGAGTCCTTTCTGAATCCATTGATGATTATTCATCGTCGGGGACTTCCTCGTCGGTGGAAGTCAAAGAAGAAGCATTTGAAGAGCCCGCCAAGGAGACCACCTATAGAGGGGTCCGGAGGCGGCCATGGGGGAAATATGCAGCCGAAATAAGGGACTCCACGAGGAATGGAGTTAGGGTATGGCTGGGTACATTTGACACCGCGGAGGCTGCAGCCTTGGCCTACGACCAAGCCGCCTTTGCAATGCGCGGCTCAATGGCTGTGCTAAATTTTCCGGCTCAGATGGTTTACGACTCGTTGAGAGAGATGAAGTGTGGGTTCGAGGAAGGGTGTTCTCCAGTGCTGGCGTTGAAGAAGAGACACTCCATGAAGAGGAAAGCGGTGAGTCGGAAGAAGAAGGATGTGAAAGAGTTGGTGATGTTGGAGAATGTGGTGGTGTTGGAGGATTTGGGAGCTGATTATTTGGAGGAACTTCTAAGTTTATCTGAGTGTTCTACTAATACTCCTTGGTGAAAAAAAAAATGGTCACCCACTTCGTTTCTCTAATTTCTCTCTCTAGAAACTCTCTTTCTCTCTCAAGATCTCCTTTTTGTGATTTTGTTTTGGATAATGTAACTTTAATTTTAAGACTGTTTTTAGCCTTTGGTTTCTTTGTAAATTTTAAAAAATAATTGAGGATCAATGTTTGAATTATTGTTGTGGGACTTGGATGTTTGGTCAACTTGACCATTGTGGGACAAGTAAATATTCTATTATGTTAATTTTTGTCTCCTAATAATTAAATTATTACATGATATGGCACCTAACGGTCACTATAACCGTTTTTTTGAAAACCCATGCTCTGGTTTTATATAACTAACCCTTCTTGAGTGACAAGCACTTTTTGGAGAGTCTGTGTTATATAGCCCAATTGGATATTGATCTTTTTCCTACTTATGTTGCATTAGTATAATAGTACTCAGAAGATATATGCCAAGAAAATAGTAAGTATATATCAACAATTATTATATGTTGTTGCTTGGTTTAAATCAATTTATTTGTTTTTTGTTTTTGTCTTTAATTTAATTGTACTCAATTTTGATCTGTTGGCAGCATTTTCATTCTTTGAGCCTTACTTACCAACCTTTAATTTGCCTGCCTATATTTTGGGGTTGGAGGCCAATGTTCTCGATCTTTTCAATATTAGAATGTAAAAAATGTGACTTCAATGAAGTATTCAAGGAATAAGAAACCATCTGCTAGCCTTTTCGGTTAGGCTAGGTTCGAGAATCATTATCCTAATTTTTTTAATAAAAAAAAGGTAGTTCGGAGCGCGAGGTTTTCGAAGAGTTTATTTTCTATTTCAAATTGATGTCGTTACCTTCAAATCACAATGAAATAATCATATAGTTGTGCCAAAACCCGTCCCCCTCTTATTTCATTCTAGTGCACAAAGTTTCCGATGAGGTTAATTATTTCCTATTTCAAATTGTAGTCGTTACCTTTAGGCAATGACGGATCCAGAAAATTTGGGAGGAGGGAGGGGGGTTATTAATTTGTGGGGCAAACTTATATGGTGGGTCCATTTTTATAATTTCAATGGAGTTTTCTTTATAATTTTTTTAAAATTTAAAGTATAAATTGCAAAAAAAAAATAATCCAATAGGGCAAATTGTAATTTTAGTGGAAGCATCTTCATAAATTCTCAAAAATTTAATGTAAAAAAAAAAAAAAAAAAATCGGTGGGGACGAATTATAATTTTAGTAGGGGTATCATCAAAAATTCTAAAAAAAAAATTAAGGTCTAAAATGAAAATATAAAAAATCCATAGGGGGCATCCGCCCCCACTAGTCCTATGCTAAATTCGTGTCTGCCTTCAGGTTACAATGAAGTAATCATATAGTTGTGCCAAAACCGGTCCTCCTCTTATTTCATTCTAGTACACAAGGTTTCCGAAGAAGTTATTTCTTATTTCAAATTAAAGTCATTACCTTCAAGACAGAATAAAGTAATCAAATAATTGTGCCAAAACTCACCCCCTCTTATTTCCTTCTATCTAATTCACTTTATAGGTTGTTTAAGAACATAAAAGATTAAGAGTTTCATGTTGCTTTCGTGATCGAATACAAAAGCTAACTACTTTGTGTAAAATAATATTGTTTCTTTTTTTGATATAAACTCTTATATAGGTGGGATATACACACTTAAATAATGTGACTTTGAGAGCAATTAATTATTTGATATGTACAATTGTAAAAACACGAAGAAGTGTAAACTATGAAGTAGTGGATTCGAGTTTCAGCAAAATATAGATTGTATTTGATTTGTCACTCAAAAAACAATCTCAATAATTCAGAAAAATAGAAAACTGTTTTCAAATAAATATAAAAAGCAGTTATTTAAAAACAGATTTTATTTTATTTTTAACAAAGTTTTGAGGAAATAATTTTTAAAAACTATCAACCAAACAGATTTTTATACTATTTTTTTAATTTTCAATTCCCAGAAAATTGAATGACACAAGGTCATATAGTAACCATATCTCTAATCTTTTCCTCCTAATTATTTGATTTTTTCCCTAATTATTTAATTAATTTGGTGGGATATACATAGTAATGATGATTAGTCTAACATTAACTTCTACAACCAATTTCCCTGTGTGCCCGTTAGTGCATGGCATGTGTGTATTAATATTATAGATTATATAATCGAATACATTGTACATAATATTACATATATATATATATATATGTATGTACACGTACTCACAAACACATATAATCAGAAAAAGCAATTGACTGGCCATAATTGGCGACCTCACAATAAATAGTGAGGAATCAAAATAAACTTTAAATTTGGAAGCAATCCGGTCAAAATTAGAACTGCAAACAAAAAACATATGGGCTAAATACATATATGAAGAAAGTAGAAATAGACTAGAAAACTCTAGAATTTGAAAGAATAATAGACTAGAAAACTCTAGAATTTTGAAAGAATATATATATATATATATATATATATATATATATAGATATATGAGTCTTTCTCATCAATGTAACAAGTACAGATTCAAAGAGAAAAGAAAAGAAAAGCTGAATCTAATTTGTGAAATCAATAGAGAGAAAATGGTAGATTTTAAAAGCCCCCAAAATTGACTGCAAACGGAAGCATATCGGCAGGTAAATTCACTGGTACATTGGATGACCGCGGCTGACCGCTGCCACGGGTTGTAGCACCGGTTTTCTAGGGCTTTCTTGTTTTCGGAGGGTCAAAGGTTAGCCGTGTTGCAGTTAAACACACACATGCATAACATAACATAATATATATATATATATAAAAATCTTATTTCAATTAAATTTTTTCGGAACATCATTGTATGAAGTTACGGTTCAAGTTTTTCCCTTGTAAGTTGATTATTCAATGTTACATCACTAGTTTCCTGTGATTCTCAGTCAACACTACACGTGAGTTAGTAAAGCATATTTAATATTTATTCAATATATATATATATATATATACACATATATATATTTAATATAAAGCATATAATATTTATTGGGGCTTGGCCAAGTTGGAAGACAAGAACAGTATTAGTGCCAAGTGGACATCTACCCGAACATATACATGACGTCACATTGAATTCTTGTTTGACTTGCCGCCGTGGTCACGAGTCTTTTGACTCCTGTCATGATCATGGATGGATTGTGCTACTGGTTCCAAATAATAATAATTTTTTTTTTTTTTTTGCCTACTTTTTTATTTTATATAGTAATTTTATTAATAATTTTTTTGCTTCTCACTTTTGACATGTTTAAGTTCAAACCGTTAGGTAGTGCTATATATCCACTTAATTATACTCAAACATTTTTTCATCCGGATCTGATGTGGGATAAATGATCTTTGTTACATTCTCCTTCATCAAAACTCGCGACATCCTCGTTGCGACTCAGGCCACCCTGCCTACCCGAGATGGCTTACCCGTACATCTTTCGAGCTGGACGCTTGGCTTGACACTGGATCAAAGATTGAGTCTGATTCTGATACTAACTGTAACGGGTGGACGCTTGCCCATTTATCAAAAAACTCAAACTATTAAGTAGTACTGCATACCCACTCATCGATACCCAATCACTTTTCCATTCGGATCCGATGTGGAACAACGGACCCTTGTTACTGTTGGTAAATATATATGCTTCATGTGACATTTAAGATATAACAAATCTTATACTAATATGTCATAAGATAATTAACAATATGCTAAGAAATCATTAATTAAATATGCAATTCTATATTTAATTAAATATGCAAAATAAAGTAATAAAATAATAATAATAAATAAAGAACCTAAATCGAGGCTAGTATTGGATACTATATCCTTAAGACAGATTCGCCCCGCTATGGTGCTAACGGATTCAGTGACATCTATCTCCCAGGATACAACGGTCTACATCTACCAGTAGTAGCACTACAAACTCGTGGATATGGCGAACCTTCTCCGTGTAATACTCTCTCTGACTCAAAAATGCATCTATACTATATAAATGCTGAATTGAGTGCAATTCGAACCAAATGGTTTGGACCAATCTTAATATGGCTCGATGAAATTGGATTAGGATCTAAGTGGTTCGGACCAGTTAACCTATGGTTTAAACCCACTTGGGTTGGGTTCAAGTCTAGAGAGGGAAATAAAATAAAATGAAAATGAATGATTTGCAAATGATCCAAAGAGGGGTATTTATAGGTAATAAGGTGCCTTTTCGGATTGGGTGCCCTTTGGAAAAAACTAAAAAGTAGTTTTTTTTAATTAATGTGTCTTTTCGGATTGGGTGCAACCCTTTGGAAAAAACTAAAAAGCAGTTTTTAAGTAAGGTGTCTTTTCGGATTGGGTGTGTCTTTTTATCATTGAACACAACCATTTATATGTGTCTCTTCACACTGGACACATCCACTCCAATTGGTTGCAATGGTTCACATGGTGTCTGTTCACCAATAAACACATCCACTCCAATAAGTTGCAATGGTTCACATGGTGTCTGTTCACCAATAGACACATCCACTCCAATAGGTTGCAATGGTTCACATAAATAGTTAAAGGCCCAATCCAATATTCCATTTAGTAAAAAGATACAATCCTTTGGCAAAAAAAAAAAGTAACTTTTAATTTAAATTCAAAAACTAACCACCCATTTAAATAAGCCCAGCCCAAAATTAAAGGCCCAATCCAATATTCCATTTAGTAAAAAGAATAATTGGACTTTACAATTAGGCCCAAGCCCAAACCCAAATTTGGCTTATTTAAATTTCAATTAGTTTCAACATTTTTTCCGTATGGGACAAATATTTCCCACATTTTGCATACCCATTTAGGCTTATCAAAATACCACACTTTAGAGCTAATTTCTCATTCACCCGGAAACGGATTTGAGAAAGTAAATATACCACGTTCATCTCCTTACGGAGAGAAACGCACTCGCCTAGAGGTTCGTAAAAAATTATTAGCGAAATTTATTCCAAATCTCATCAAAGTTTATGTTTTTAATGCCCCCGTTTCCAATAGTTACAAAATTCATTTACAATTTAAGCATTTTTTGAACAATGACTCCCAAAATTCGGTAAACTGAATAAAGATATCCCAACCATGATAAAAATACTGACTTATTCTATAACTTCTGAATTAATTCGTGTAAATTATTAAATTACCTTTATAACCTCCTTTTAACTGACCAAAATAACCAAAAAAAATTGTTCAAG